TGGAAAGTGTGATTCGTGATGCGGTCACTTATACTGAACATGCTAAACGTAAGACAGTCACATCGTTAGATGTCGGTAAGTTAAATTTGGGAAAGAAGCTTTTAATTTTTTTCTTGATTATTGATCAATTGATCTCTATCGAGGAAGAATTTTGTTGATCGCAGCGAAAAATTATTTATAAATGATGAATTCTAAATCTTCTCTTCTCTTTAATCTTTAAATATAGTATATGCTCTCAAACGTCAAGGCCGCACCATCTACGGTTTTGGTGGATAATATGTTACGACTTGGCAATTCCTCTTTTCTTTTAAATTTTTCTTGTGTAATGGTTTTTTTTTTGATGGATTGATTATGTTTAAAAAAATTATGTAAACGAAATCTTGGGTTTCTTTATGATAATAAAATATTGATTCATTCACTCGGGCTAAAGCTTATATTTATTACTTTAAAACAAATGATTTTATATTACATGTGGAATTGCATTTGTATATCGAACTTAGAACAATCTCTAACTTTTTCTATTCTCCATTTACATGCAAGCACACCTCAGACCAGAAAAATGTGACTTTAAAGAGTGTGACTGTACAGAGGTACGACTGTGTAATTACTACATTTACCATTTAAAGAAAAAATTTCATCAGAGAAACGCCCTTCCCCACATGACATGTGTACAATCACATTCTTCTTTCTTCTACAATCACATCATCCCAAAGTTCCAACTATTTAACGTTAAACTATTATAGTAAAAATTTAAGTCACAACTTCTTTTAAAGTCACAATTCTCTGGTCCCGAGGATAAGATTTGTGTAACTTGCCAAACGCACAAAATTGTATACTTTGATTTGGTTCTCAAAGGCAAACTCGCCAAACCACCAATTGCTCTTGGTTAAAGTGTCCACTATATTTGGGTTTTTCTTGTAGATAACAATTCAATAATAATATGGCTACTAGTCCTTCAGAATTCAGTAATCCCCTGAGGAAATTCAAATTGGTGTTCCTGGGTGAACAAAGTGGTTAGTTTCTTGTTTTGCGCAGATTTTGGTAGATGATAAATTGAACTTTTGGTGTAGGCACCTGTCAAAAGTTCATCAAAGCTGCCAAACTCTGGCTCCTTTCTTTTTGCCTGTGTACGAACGTTCGTTTAAACAACTAATGCCAAAAGATACCTGTTTCTTTAATCTCGTGTACTACTTTATTATTGACATATTTCTACGGATTAACAAGTCGGCAAAACCTCTCTAATAACGCGTTTCATGTATGACACCTTCGACAATACCTATCAGGTAATTATTGTTTGATACCAAAAACTTTGGTTGGTTTGCTTAACCCACCCACCAAGATACACCTGCCCGCGAAATCCTATGTACTCCCTGTTCTCTCTGTCTCGCGTTATTCAATCATTATATACTCTCAGTTAACGCGCGGGAGAATTACTCTCTTATTGTTGAATTGAAGGCTACAATTGGCATCGATTTTCTATCGAAAACTATGTATCTGGAGGATCGTACAGTTCGTTTGCAACTCTGGGATACAGCTGGCCAGGTAATTTTTCTTTGTATTTTTGAGGTAATAAAGAATCTCAAAGTTTAAGTTAATATGTACGCGTAAATTATTTTGATCCTTTATCTTTAAGGAACGATTCAGAAGTTTAATTCCTAGTTATATTAGGGATTCTTCTGTCGCCGTGGTAGTCTACGATATCACAAGTATGTGTGCGTTTAATGATGTCGCTTTTTTATATTTACCAATTATTAATCATTTCTTCACTCCCAAGATCGGAATTCTTTCATGAATACTGCTAAATGGATAGATGATGTCCGTGCAGAGCGTGGCAATGATGTAATTATTGTCTTAGTAGGGAATAAGACCGATTTGAATGACAAAAGGTAAGTTTTTGATAGTTGTCTTTTGGTTAAAAAAAAAAAAAAAAACTATTCAAGCTTTTGTCATTGAATTTCTATTTAATTATTTTATTTAGACAAGTGACAACAGAAGAAGGTGAAAAAAAAGCAAAAGAGTATAATGTGATGTTTATTGAGACTAGTGCAAAAGCTGGGCACAATGTGAAAACATTATTCCGTAAAATAGCACAAGCTCTTCCCGGCATGGAGAACACAATGAATGAGCCACAGAATCAACGTGAGCGATGTTTTGCCGTTGCTTTTATTAATATCCTAATCATAAATTAATTTCTGGTTTTTCGCTTTCTCTCCTTATGTATTGGTATTCTCTCTAGTGATTGATGTCAATATCAATTCAGGAGCCCAAAATTCCAACGATGCAACTGTTTGCGCTTGTTGATATTACAATAATTAATTATGCTTATAAAGTATTTTTGATTTCTTTTTATTTTGTCATTCTTTCACATCTTATCGTTTATTAATTGTTTTTTATCAACTTCAAGGAATCAACATCTCTGCGTGCGTTATTCTACTTTATCGCTTATTTATTAATTAAAACTATGTAACAATAGTAATCCTTCTCTTTTACTTTCGATAGAATATATTAATAATTAAATAGAAATTTAACACTACTATTACTAAATATAATAAGGATAAAAATTATTTATTTTTTATCAAAACAATGTTCTATTTAACTATTAACGTGTGAGACGATGAAAGTAATCAAAAATCACGGAAGTACAAATATGCATGTAATAATAAATAATTACAAAAAAAAGCTCCTAGAAATTATCATCATCCATATTGATTTCATTAGGGTTTGAGGGAACTTGAGAAGCTGATACATCTTTCTTGTCTTGATGGGACGTAGACCTAAATTCAAATAAATAAGTTAATATAAACTAAGGTTCATGCACATGTGTATACGGGAAATTGTGTAGATAAGGTTGGTGTAGTGTTGGCCGAAAGATTCTAAATTCACATAGATCCCGTCTCCATGTAGAACATATACAAGAACAATATGACTTACGGGACAAATGTCAAAGTTCTGGGCCCACTTGTTGATGCTGACGCGGTTTGTTTTAATGCTTCTTGCTCGGCAACTTGCATAGGATTTGTTGGAGTCGTGCCATCAGTAGTTGCTAAAGCAGTAGCAGTCTCTGATGCTTGAGCAACACCAGTAACTGGAGGTTGTACTTGTTGTCGAGTTGCCAGAATTTGTGCAGATATGAAATTGACCTAATAATAAAAAATGAAATTTTATATAAATACGCGTTTTTAAGATATTGTTATCAAAAGACTAAATAAATAAAAATAAATACCTCAGTATTATATTGAGCCTGCACACTACGTTTTATACGTAACATTTCTTTAAATGTATCCTCATTTCCGTGCTTCACTTCAAAATCATGCCAAATCGTCCAGAACGAAGGCACCGTCTAAAGATGAAGACGATAACAAAATAGATTAATATATGCATAACGAAAGAAAGAAAAATTTATGCATGAAAAGATTGCTTACCCTGGGATCACAAAACTGCGAAGCATGCGCGTACAAAGATCTCGCTCGATCAATTTCACCCAATTTTCGTTCCAACTCTGCATATTTCAAACACATGTCCTTGGCCTCTTTATCTGGAAGCACCTCAATTGCACGTTCATAGATTTCACGCGTGTAGGTTACGCCGAAATTCGCACTCGCCTTGGCAATATAGAAATTAAACATCTAAAAAAATTTGTGAATATAAACGCATTGTTAGTGACAGCAAAGAGTAATACAAATGCAAATATATACTCACTTCAAACCGATCTTCATCAGCCACGGCTTTTGTCGCACGATCGAAAATTCGCATGGCATGTCTTGATAGCCCGTAATCTTCCTCAAGTTTTCCATACATAAGGTACAGAGGTTTCGCATGTTTAGGGGGACACTTTTCAAGGGCTTGTTCGAAAAGATCTCTGGCACGCTCTAGTTTTGTTCCTCCCTAGGTTGGTAAATTTTATAGAAATTAAAGATAAATTTTTAGAAAATTAAAAAATAAATTGCACTCACGTATCGTTTTATAAATTTGGTCAAATAAATATTCCAAATTTCAAATGCAATTGGATAGTTGAATAGCTCGACACCACGTTCATATACCTAATTGCAAGATAAATTCCGAAAATAAAATGTAAAGAAGATAACAATGAATTAATGATGAATTTTGATTAAATCAATAAAATTATAATCGAATAACTATCAAGTAAGTAATTAACTCACTTTAAAGCTTTCTTCGAAATATTTATTCTCCTCTAAAAAGTTGGCATAATTAATGATAATTTGTGGGGTAGCGATTTTCAGCTCTAGTATCCGATCGTATACAGCCCTTGTTGACTCTACTGTGCCAATACTTTCCTCGAGATCAACATAGAATGACCATAGCTTGAGAGACTTGAAAATACGCGACTGAACAGGTATGTTCTGTTTATATAATTCAAACCATTTAGTTTGATTATTTTTATTTATTTGTATAAAAATCTTGTCGCCTATGTGATATTTTTACCTCATCTCGATAATTGACATTTGGATTTGATGGAGGAACTGTAGCTCTGCTCATAACTTCTATGGCACGATCATAATTTCTGTCCCAAAATAATAAGTTGAATAAGAAGTCTCTTATTTAATAGACAAGTAGTAGAAATACTTACTCATGTCGTAATTCCATTTCTGCATATTCACACCATAGCGTGGCCAAATCATTCACACTTTTGAAATTAACTTTTGTTCCTTTCTCAAATATCGTTCGAGCCGATTCCAAATCGTTTCCATCCTCATAAAACTTCGCAAAATGCACCCACAATTCATGAAACTTGCCACTTGCTTTTTTAGGATTGATTGTAAGAATCGCCTTTGTATATGTTTCAATAACCTTTTCTTGACAAGAAAATTGTTAGATTAATTGACACAAAATAAATCATTCTTTTTCCAATAGAAAAATTTACTTTTTCAGCATTGTCTTTCCATAGCTCAACTCTTTTTTCCCATTCATGCACATTATTCGGATTTTGCCGCAATAATACATCATTCACCAAAAAAGGACGACGATTCATTAATTGCTCAAATCGTACGAGACGTAACTCTAAATCTAAATCTTCTTCTGGGTTTTCCTTTCCCTGTTCCGCTCGCTCGGCAGCTTCCTCCATTTTATGAGTGAGAACAGTCTCTTCGAATTCTGCATATGCGTCAAATATTTGAGTAAAATCACGAACTGTCATTACTGTGGCGATGCCTTCTTCAAAAACATCTCTTGCCTGTAAAAATTATATATTCTAGAAAAATCCGTATTTATATACATATAATAGAAATAGCGTAAAAATTAGATACCTTTTCAAGATGGGTCAACTTTATCCAATAGCTAGCCAAAGAATTCCACAATTTGCCAACCTGATCGGTGAACCTCCGGATTCCACTTCTTATAATTGGTTCAACTTTCAAGCTTTTAATCTCTTCAGGATGCTTACACACCAAATCACATAATTCCATCCACAATTGGTAATTAGATTTTCCATGCATTGACTTGAATCGGTCGTTATTTACCACTTGTGCCAGACGTTTGGCCGCTTCATCGTAACGATTTAACGAGAGCAAAAGATCAATGTACTCTTCAACATGGTCAGGTTCCAACTAGACGAATGAAATATCCTCTGTAAGCATCATGCAAAAAAATATCAACCAGATGATTATATTGGAAAACATACATCATCATGTATATAAATTAACAATTCCTGTTTCTCACCTTTAGATATCGACGATATAATCGAATTGCAGTTTCTCCACCAACCTCCCGCGCAAATTTCAAATAAATTTCCCATATTCTAGGATGTTGAGTGATTGGTAAAGCTTTAAGAGCACGATCAAAAGTTCGTCGAGTTTTCGTGATTCGGCATTGCGACATTAAAAAAGTACAATAATCTATCCATATACAAGGCATCTAAAATTAAATTAAACCATTATCATCAGATAAACGAAAACCATGAAGATGATTACGATGCGAGGATTACCTTGTGTAACAACACCAATGATCGTTCAAAACAATTATTAACCTTGAAATATTCTTTTTCATACCGAACAGCATTCAATCCATCGACGTGTTTTAACCGCAAGTCTAGATATTTCTTCCATAGTTTATAAGAACCGGGCAGTTCTTTTAAAGCACGTTCATATATCCATATTTGCTGAGATATTGGTTGTTCAGACTTGTGATCTATATAACGAAGCCAGGACTTTAATGTATAAGGGTTTCGTAATATTTCTTCTTCGAATGGGATATCAATTTCTTCCTGTTTTTATGATAAATTAGGAATGAGTCTTGTTTGACGCTGATAGTAACTTCCTGAAGCTAAATATCAATTTCAAAGCATACAATTTGAAAAATTCTTTCTGATTCTTCAGCTATGTTTGCTTCTATTTCTATTGGTCCCCCAGACATGTTTTTATCTCTAAATTTTTGGCTATTGGAATCTTTACGATTTTCAAGATATCCCTACCCAGTCATCTTGTTTGGATCGGAGGTCGGCTAATTAATCGGCACCGAACAATACCCAGGAAGATCTGCCAATCACATGAAAGCCTTCGTTATATTTTAAATTACAAGGCTATTAGAGCCTTTAATAAATCGAATTTTAAAAAATAAACTGGTAATAATCTTGTTTAAGATATGTACTATTAATCTACTGGCCAGAATTTTAATTTAAGTTTTAAATAAAGTTATAAGCATTTTAAATCGGATACTTATGGTCGGAATTGAAATATATCATGTAATTTTTTTATTACGTGAAACTTATTTTATTGGTCAATTACAATAATACACTGCACGTGAATAATTTTATTGGTTCAGTGTTAGATCTAAGCTCCTAAAAAATTAATTGCGCCTAAATGTTTTAACATATTTAATTAGCATTTATGCAAATTTTTAAGACTCTGTAAATTATTAATTGTATTATATGACATGCTATATTATATATCATTACTTAATATTTGCTATATTATTGGCTGCATTATATAATATACTATATACAAAATTGAAACAAATTCATGTGATTGATGAGTTATAATCTATTTTATTTCTGTTCAATAAATATCTTATATTTCTACTAAATAGAAATAAGTTAAAATAATTTGAATATTATATAACTAATTATATTACTTAAAAATTATTATCTCATATTTTTATTACTTATATATTAGTCATATATTCTCAGTATAATATTCTTAAAGAAATAACTTCTTAATATTAATAATATTTAAAAATTCAAATAATCTAATACTTTTTTAATATATTTTTATTAAATTATTATTTATATTATATTTAATTATATAAAATTACTTGATAATAAAGATAACTTCTTAACTATTGTAATGTGATGATAAATAAGCATCTTCTAATTATAATTAGTTACAACTTATAAAATTTTGGAGTTGCAATATGTTGTAACAGATAATAAATAAGTATTATATACTTGTTGTATTATCTCTATTTGATAATATATAATAATTTAATATTATAATTTATAAATATATAATAAAATAATATTTTAATTAAAAAGATAATAATATATATTAAAATGTATTTTTAATTATAGTAAATTAAGAATACTTATTAAAATTATTTTGAGAAATATTAAAAAAATTATCTTAAATTATGTATTTATAGTTAAATTTTTTACAATTATTATATTTAAAAAATAAAATTAAATAATTATAAAAAAATTTTTTTAATTATAATTATTAAAAAATTTAAAAAAAAAATTATAAAAATATAATTATAAAGAAATATAATTATAAAAATTTAATTATAATTTATTAATATTTTAATTTTTGATAAATTTATTATATATTATTAAAATTTAAAAAGATTTATATTAATTAAAATAAGTTATATATTAATAATTTATTATAATTTCAGCTTAATATTTTATTATTTATTAAAATATATAAATTTTTAATAAATATTTTTATATTAAACTACTTATTAATATAATAACTTTTATAAAAGAATTAATTTTATTAATAAAATATAATAAAAATTAAAAATTTTTTTTATATTAAACTTTATAATTTTATTAAGAAATAATTTTTATTTTTATATTAAATAAAGTTTATAAATTATAATTAAATATATATT